CACCTACACCCACACCTACACCTACACCCACACCTACACCTACACCCGCACGCCCACACCCTCAAGGCAAATAGTTAAACAAATTTCTAATAGTGGTGGGCTATATTTTCGATATATTGATGATATATTTTTAACAATAAATTGGCCTGCTCGACATTTATTTAAACAGATCAACAGATGGAATAAATTTGATAAAAACATTAAATTATCAGAAAATATAGGTTCAACAGCTGATTTTCTTGATTTACATATAGAAAATCAAGATAGTCAATTATTTACGACAATTTATCAAAAGCCATCTTATGAACCATACTACTTGCCATTCAATAGTGTACATCCATTACATATGAAGAAAAATATAATTTTTACTATGTTTCTTCGTACTATTAGATATTGTTCAACTTTTCAAGCTCATTTAAATGAACGTGAAAAATTACGAATGGCATTATTATTAAGTAAATATCCAAATGGAATTATTGATAAACAATTTGATCATGTATTATCAAAATTTAATATTGATCAACCATTAGATTTTAACAATTACAATTTAATTCGTCAAAAAATTATAGAGACACCTATAAAAGAAAGAATACCAATGGACTATGGAAAGACAATGTTTGTCCATTTTACTTATTGTTCAAATATGAGGACATTTCCAGTAAAATTCCATATACTCTGGAATAAATATTTTGGAGAATCTCCTATTAATGAAGTCTTACCTGTCCTTGGTACACGTAATGTTAAAAACTTACAAAGGCAATTAACCAATACAAGATAAACAAGATATCAAATTTCTATTAGCATTTACTTCCGGATTAATTTGATACATTATCTTTAAAGTTATAATTGTTTTTTATTACCTAAAAAATCCGAAAAAAATGACAAATGACCATCGAGATCATCAATTAATCCAAGTGGACATTCCTTTGAAAAATACTGATTTTGAATCATTATTAAATTTATATTCAAATGTATTTAATAGAGTTCAACATGATTTTACTACTAGTTCAGAAATTTATTATATATATTATCTTTATTAACACTATTGTCCATGTCTTCAGAGACAAATAAGTGACATTATTATCCATACCAACATAATTTTACTAGTAGTTCAGAAATTCCATGTATTAATCTTAATAATAAAGAATTAGAAAAAAATAATTCATTACCAACTATCAATCTCGATTCAATTATTTTATTAATTATAATAGGCTCAAGGCATTATAAAATCAACCAATAATAAAATTTCGAATTATTCAATATTAGCCAGCATGTTATATCTTTCGGTTTATTTGAATTAAAAAATTGGTTTTTAAACTTGTTTTCAATTACCATTTTCAAACACAAATAATAGACAACTGGAATTAAATAATATATTCATTATCTATTTTGATAAAGGTTCTAAAATATAAAGTCTATATCTTATACATTTTGTCCATATTTGTGAATATAAATAAGTAATATAAAAAATTATTTAAATTATGATCTTAAACTTTTTTTACTTAAAAAATTTAAACATGAGATAAAAAGGAATAAATTAATATATAAGGTTATTATTTTACCTTACCTATATTATATTTAGCAATTTCAAAATTCCAATTTAATTAATTTAACTTTTTATTTGGATTTTAAAACATTATGTGAAAGATTTGTTTTCTTATCAATTAAACCATCTTATATTCAAATATCCGTCAACTAAACGTCGAGTTATTCAATACATTGAAAATTAGTATTCAATATAATTAAGACTGGATAACCGAAATCATATATTATCCGCCTATATCTTCAAAGACAAATAAGTAATATTATCCTTTATAATACTACAATGTCTTGTTAAAAACGGATATTATCCATCTACATCTTCATACACAAATAAGTAATATTATTCTTTAGAATACTACAATTTCTTGTTCGATTGTTTCCTACTACTGCTATTTCTATTTTTCTTTTTATTCTTATTCTAATTTTTGTTTTTATTTTTTACTCTTATTTTAATTTCATTTTTGCTTCTAATTGTAAATGCAGAGCCCTGAAGAGTGTTTTATTATTTAAATAAATAACATGAAACGCGTCGGCGAAAATAATCTGCATTTCTTTTCAATTTCTTTTAATTCAAGCATATTTATTTATATTTATTTCATTCTAATTTAATTTTCGACAGGAAATCGATTGCTGAAAAGCAAGAGTTGAGACTAGCAGATTGATTTGTATTATAGAAATATAAGTCGATCTGTTTTCCAATTGATTTACGTACATCCAATTATATCAGGCATCAAATTAATTGGAGTTTATTATTCCAAATTTGATCCATTAGTCTCTCAACTTATTCAACGGTTCAATGTCGTCAATAAGTTATAACAATCAAATTCCATTACAACAAGCTACCACAACACCACCACCACCACCACCACAAAGATATATGAATCAAGGTCGTTGTCGTGGTGGTGTTTTTGGGGGCAATAATTTTAATCGTGGGGGCAATAATTTTAATCGTGGGGGCAATAATTTTAATCATGGGGGCAATAATTTTAATAATTTTAGTAATTTTAATTATAGAATTAACCAATTCAGTTATGGAAACAATCAATATAATTATCGCAATTATCGAAATTATTCAAATAGGCGTAACCAAAATACAAATAGAGGTTTTTATCCTCGAATTTTTTATCGTCGAAATAATTATCAACCACAACAATATTATAATGACTATGGTATTATTAATCAACCAGTAGTTCCACAAGGAAGTTTTTATCGAAGAATACCAAGAAGATTAAGTCAAAATCGACCAAGAAGTCGTTCTAATCAACAGCGAAGTCGATCGATACAACAGCGTAGACGTGGTCCAAGGCAATTAAGATTAAATGATTTTATGCCACCACAGTTACGTGATCCTTCACCAGATACTCGAAATCTTCCTTCAGATTTTAATTTAGCTACAGCTACAACTACAAATGATATTCCTGTTGATGCATTACCACAATGTGAAGTTTTTAGAAATAATACTACACAACCATTTGTAGTTAATCAAAATGAACAAGAGAATCAGCAACAAAATCGACGACAACAATATACAAGTGCACCATTTAGACGTCGTCAACGTCGAAATCGACAACAACAATATCGTCAAAATGAATTTGTTAATAATAATCGATTCGCTATATTTGCTGATGGAAACAATAATGATCCAATTGAAATTGATTTAATTGATGAAGAACCAATAAATATTAAGAAAAATAAAAATTCGAAAAAGACCCGACTATATCTCGAACCAAATCGAATGTTACGATGGTTTGAAGATAAATTTAAAAAAAACCCTTTAAATAGTCGTGGTAACCAAGCATATTTATTAGCTGCAGCTCCAGTTTATGATGAATGGATCAGAAATAATTATGAATTACAAATTTGGCAAACATATTTAAAGATGGGCACAGAACAAAAACATTGGGCTAAAGAAATCGTTCAACGTACAAAAAAGCGTGATAATATAACAAATACTCGTTTTGTACAAAAGAAAATTAATCGATTAACTGAAAGTATTGCTCAAGCTAGTGGTACCATCTCAGACTTACAAATCTAATTAACTACATATTGGACACAAGTTAACATTGAGAAGTTAACTAAAACAATAGCTGAAAATGTAGGAAATATTGTATATGAAAAAATAAATAATAAAAAATCAACTACAACAACAGCTGCACCAGCAACAAGTCCTACAACAACACCAACATCAACTGCAGCTACGGCAACAAATACTCTTAAAAATCAAGTTCGTGAGCCTATAGAACAATTAGAAAAATATATATTAAAATACATTTATACATATACACAACATGTCAAGAAAATGGCCGAAAATAAAATTCAATTAGCCAAAGCTCAATTAGATGAATTTAAAGCTTTAGAAGAATTTGAACAAATAGCTACTCCATCTCAATGGAATATTCATTTAGCTTTAAAACCTAGAATAAAACTTTGGTCAACTAAAAATAAAAATTATTTGGCTGCTCTTAAACGTGTTGAATATGATATGCCTCCAAAATTTATTGAGAAAGTTGATTTATCATTTAAAATTGATGAATCTATTATCAATCAAGATGAAGCTCAAGCTACATATAATCAAATGCGTCAAATCACAAAAGAATTTCGTACACAAGCAATGACATTATATGTATAATCCTTAGGTAGAGAAAATGAATTATTATTAAATGAAATTAAACGTATTATTGAAGGCTTTCCTCAAGAAAATGATGAGGGTTTTGATGCTGAACCTGGACATGCAGCATTTAAACATTATCATAATTTACGAGAAAAAAGATTAAATTTAGAAGCTGAACAATCGATTCATTTTTTATCCGAAGAGCGAGTCGAGGGCGATACAAACGATCCGGTAGAAATCGTTGCTCCGAATCTAATTCGATCGCTGGGCGAGGAATTCTTGCTCCAGCTATAATTAATCAAGCACAAATTCAATTAACCGAGGACGAACATGAATTACTAAAATTAGGTCCTCGGTTTATTTATAATGATCCAAAAACGACATCTCGACGACGTACAATTGAATTAGCTACTCTTAAACGAAAAATTGAAGCTCGTTTCTTTGAAAAGAAAGTTAGCCCCGGTCGTCCAGTCGAACAATTTATTTCCGAATTAAATGTTCTGCTTCAAAAATTACATAATAGTTCAACAAATTATCAAAAGCAAAAAGATATAGTAAATCAAAATAATACTTATAATAGTTTAATATCTGCTATAGAAGCAAGTCAATCTCAAAATATCAATTCTCGTATAATTATTAAAAAGAAGAAAAATTATGGACGATTAATTAAACGTTTAAAATATAAACTTTATTTAAAGAATATTATTCTTCAAAAATCAGATAAAAACAAAGTATTCCACTTAGGTAAACTTGACGATTATCGTAAAAAATCAGAAGAATATATGGAGAAAACAAAAGCCTACAAATGTTTAGGCACTGAAGATCCATTTCCTGATCTGATTTGGCGTACTAATAAATACTTATTAGATTTAAGATTAGCCAAGTGGATTACTCAAAAACAATATGAAAAATTATTTATTAATCCAAATGAAGTTGAACTCGCTCATTTATATTATTTACCTAAGGCACATAAGCCTGGTACTCCTCTTCGTCCAATTATATCTGGTCTTAAACATCCTACAATTAAAATATCAAAATTTCTTGATGAATTACTTCGACCTTTATTTGATCAAATGGCTGCAAAAACAACTATAAATTCTGGTCTTGAATTAGTTAAACAGTTGCAAAAATGGTCAAGTATCAATATATGTCAAGAAACCTTATTTTGTACAGTTGATGTTGCAGACCTTTATACAATGGTACCTCAAACTGAAGGAGTACTTTCATTAAAGAAAATGTTAGACCATTTAAAATTAAAACAAGTTGGTGGTCTTAAAATTGAAACAATTATTAGATTAAGTCGATTTGTTATACAAAATAATTATTTTTCTTTTAATGGTCAATTCTATCATCAAGTTCGTGGAGGAGCAATGGGTTCTCCTCTTACTTTAACTGTAGCTAATTGTTATATGTTCTTTTATGAAAGGCAGATAGTTAAACAAATTAGCAATAGTAGCGGTTTATATTTTCGATATATTGATGATATATTCTTAGCAATAAATTGGCCTGCTCGACATTTATTTAAGCAAATTGACAGATGGAATCATTTTGATGAAAATATCAAATTATCAGAAAATATAGGTTCAACAGCTGATTTTCTTGATTTACATATAGAAAATCAGGATGGTCAATTATTTACTACAATTTTTCAGAAACCATCTTATGAACCATATTATTTACCGTTCCATAGCATTCATCCTCTACACATGAAAAAGAATATAATATTTACTATGCTACTTCGTACTATTAGGTACTGTTCAACATTTCAACATTATTTGAATGAACGGGAAAGATTAAGAATAGCACTTTTATTAAATAAATATCCAAATAAATTTATAGATGAACAATTTAATATTACATTGTCAAAATTAGATATTATTCAACCATTAACTTATAATAATTATACCAATTATCGTCAAAAAGTTATAGATTCCCCAATAAAAGAAAAAGTAACAGTTGATCATTGTAAAACAATATTCGTACACTTTACATATTGTTCAAATATGAAAATATTCCCAAGAAAATTTCATACTCTTTGGAATAAATATTTTGGCGAATCTCCAATCAATGAAGTTAAACCGATTCTTGGCACACGTAATGTTAATAATTTACAAAGACGACTTGTCCATACTAGATCTATAGTACCTTAATTGTTGATACGATTAATTTTTTGATACATACAATAGTATTAGAATATTCCATTATTTAAAATATGCAATAATATAATAATTATCAAGATATATACAAATTAAAATAATTCCATAAGTTGCTTAATTAAACTTATTAATTAATTTATAATTTATAATTAATTACTGAATTTGAATCAGTGCCTAATATATGGTTGATCAAATCCTGCTCCAACATTATAAATTTAACATTTATATTTTTAACCTACATATACTATGGACAGGTTTTTCAATCTTAATACGAAATCCTTATTAAAAAAAAGAATAAGACAAATAAGTGATATTAATATTATAATACTTATACCTTAATTAGAGACAAATAAGTGATATTAATATTATAAAGCTTATATCTTATCCAATTTTTCCATATTTTTAAAGACAAACAAGTGATAAGTATACCAATTAAATTGTTTTTTTACCACTCATATCGGATGGAAGATGACCAAATTCAGTTCCATTCTATCATTCACTGTATACATTATTGGTTATTCTTTTACCCCCGTATATTTGAATTATCAACTTAACGTCAAGTTATTCAATATCCGCCAACTAGACGTCGAGTTATTCAATATCCATCAACTAGACGTCGAGTTATTCAATATACTAAAAAACTAATCCTATATTCAAATAATATTATTTTACCATTCCTCTTTTGATTGTTTCCTGCTATAAGTTCTATTTTTATTTTCATTATTAATTTAAATTTCGTACTTTTGTATCATATTGTCATTTTCAATTTTGCTACTTCTTATAATTTGAATTTCATTTTGCTTCTTCTTATAAATTAAATTTCATTTTTGTTACCTATCATGAATGCAGAGCCCTGAAGAGTGTTTTATTATTAAAATAAATAACACGAAACGCGTCGGCGAAAATAATCTGCATTTCTTTCAAATTAATTTTCATTCAAGCACATTTATATATTATCCTATTTAGTTTTACGACAAGAAATCGATTGCTGAAAAGCAAGAGTTGAGACTAGCAGCTTGATTTGTATTTATTGAAATATAAGTCGATCTGTTTTCCAATTGATTTACGTACACCCACACCCACACCCACACCCACACCCACACCCACACCCACACCCACACCCACACCCCGCTCTATAGATATAAGAAAATTTCTATATCAAAACTTCAAAAAATTATCGACATTAGTCTTTTAAACGCTTAGAATTTTGAAGCATATAGATATCAAAAAAATCATGTATGAAAACTCCTCAGAATTCTTTATGGCAGCCGTTTAAACGTTTACAATTTTTAACTATGTAAATATAAAAAAATTTCGATATCGACCGTTCTAAAAATTCTTGACATCAAGCGCTTAAATGTCTGGATTTTTGAAGCATGTAGTTACGAAAATATTCATATATGAAAACTCCTAGAAATCCTTTATATGAAACGTTTAAACGTTTAGAATTTTGAACTATGTAAATATAAAAAAATTTCTATATTGAAACTCCTAAAACTTATTGACATCAGACATTTAAACGTTAAGAATTTGAAAGCATACAAATATGAGAAAATTCATGTATGAAAACACTTGAAAATTCATTATGCAGCCGTTTAAACGTTTAGAATTTTGAACTATGTAGATACGAAAAAATTCATACATGAAATTTGCTAGAAGTTGATGATGTTATTCGTTTAAATGTACAGAATTTCGAAGCATGCAGATATGAAAAAAATTCATGTATGAAAACTCATAGAAATGCATTATATCAGCCGTTTAAACGCTTAAAATTTAGAACTATGTAGATACAAAAAAGTTTACATCTTGAAACACCTGGAGGTCAATGAAACTAGCCGTCTAAACGGTTACTATTTACTATAAAAAAGGTATTCGAAATATTTGATGCTGCACTATGTTGAAATACTGGAGCACCCATCGTTTAAACGCTTGAACTTTCTGAGTAGTTAATCTAAAAAATATATGGAGAAAATAACGTCCAGAACTCTCAACTTTGAAGGATGAATGTCGTCAGTAATTATCGCAGAAACCCGAATGATAGAAGTGTTGGGGAAAACGCGCAAAAATCACAACTTTTTGATGCGTGAAATGAGCTTTTGGAGCCAATGACCGTTTACACGATTACAAAGCAAGCTTTCGAGGTGTTTAAACGTCTACAAATATTCAATAGAAAAAAATTGTACGTTTCCATCGGTGGAATTTTAGAATTCTGAGTGTTTACACGGCCATCTTTTTTTTAACGCGTGTAAACGCTTGAAAAAGTCAGTTTTACGGTGTGTACACGCGTTTTTTCGAATTCTTGTCTGCTTGGGTAGGAGCCCATGCATATACCCATCAATCGATAGAGCATCCTCGATAACCCTATGATTGGCCCGAATATGGCTATGTGTTGTCCTTACAATAAGAGAAAAAAAGGCTCCTCAAATCTGATTGGTCTGTTTTTGGACCAATCATATGGCAGGATCCTATTTCTCAGTGATGGGATTGGTGGGGACCCCTACGTATACCCATCAATCGATAGAGCATCCTCGATAACCCTATGATTGGCCCGAACATGACCATCACTTGCCCTCACAATAAGGGCAAAATATTTGAACCTCCTTGGCTACCTTCCAGTAGTAAGACTTGAGAACCCAAGAGTACCCCCAATAGTAGGACTTGAAGACTCAAGCCTACCACCCTACAGTAGGACTTCAGGGCGTTAGGGCATCCACCAGTAAGACTTGTGGACTCAAGGGTAGTCCTTGAAGACCTATGGGTACTCTAAAGGGTAGCCCTCGAGGACCTATGGGTACCCCTACAAAAAGTTCAGTTCGTTCGAATGAGCTGTTCTAAAAGTTTAGCTCATATGAAATGAGCTGTTTAAAAAGTTCGGTTCGTTCAAATGAGCTGTTCGAACAGCTCTTTCGCTCATTTGAACGCAGTTCATGAGCTTAGCGTGCGTACTCCTAGTAGAAACTCTAATTTCGTCAGGCTGAAAAAATGTTATGAGAGATAATATGACCCAAACGGGACAGTATATGCCAGTTATCGATAGAAAAAATCAAATATTCAACATGTTCTTATATTCTCTGATAGAGAAAAAGATTCTGCATAAAATGAGCCTATTTTCGACGAAATAGAACCGCATTCTAATGAAATTTCTGGGCAAAAGCTAGGCCTTAAGGCTTTCAGGGATGTTTCCGATCTTTCTTATTATCTGAGTACTTTTGAAAACAAATGAAATATTTGTGATCAGCGAACTAAGTACTATTGAACTATAAAGACTTGTAATAGAACAGCGACAAAAATTTTTTTTCATACTTGAAGGGGACCCAAGTGTGAAAAATTGAGTTGTGATAAAGTAGAAAATAAAATTATGAAAAATAGTCAGGGTTCGATGCTGATTCTCACGGTAATAAAATTAGGTTCAGCTTTTTCGAGGTCCTCGATCCGTAATTCGACGCAACTTTTGACGTATTGGAATGTAATTAATGCGTGATACTGAACTAGCAAATCAATAATAATCAACTACATGTTTTACTTTATATTATTTTACTTCATCTTATTTTTTCGGTAAAGTAAAAGATACTTCACTTTACTTTACTTTACTTTGCTTTACTTTTCAGCTAAGGTAGACCTACTTAACTTTATCGAATAAAGTAAAGTAGACTAACGTTACTTCACTGAGTAAAGTAACCGAACTTTACTTTACTGAGTAAAGTAAAGTAACTCTACTTTACTTTACTTTATTAAAGTAAAATAAAGTTAAAGTGCCACCCCTACCCTACATCCACACCAACACCAACGCCCACATCCACCCACACCCACAGCCAAAGCCACAGCCACACCCATCCACATCCACCACCCACACTCACACCCACACCCACTACGCACACCCACCACTCACAACAACCCCCAGTACCCACCTCCATCTAACAGGATTCTTATTGCAAGATAACCGACTGCCATAGGACTTTGCCACATTCGTCCTCCTACTCATAATCATATCTCTCCTTTCGTCGAACATGAGGTAAATGAATTTTCCAGTCTCTACCTGCGCACTCTTATCAGTACTTTACCTGGCCATGTTTCACACGTCAGAGGATAGAACAACAATATGGTGAGATAATACGAGGTTATTAACCATTATCTATCTTGCTGCCCATATAAATTTTTACTGAAGAGGTGATTTTAATATTCACAATCTACTGAAATAGAAATAACATCCAGTAATAAAATTGAAATTTGTGTATATTGATCGGTAATATAACAGAGTGAATAATAATCTAGAAGAATGATATGGTCATCTCTTATCATTTTCCTCATTGGATTTTCTACTTTACACATTAGAATGATCATCGCACAGACAAATCCTTCCTCTTCTGCGCCGACCATTGGATTACCAATCGGTACCATAGTACTTTTCGGCGGCGATGTTATTCCACAAGATTGGCTGTTATGTAATGGATCGGCCATATCGCGCTTGACTTATTTCCCTCTCTTTCTCGTGATTGGAACTTTATATGGAACGGGTGACCATGTGCGAACATTCAATTTACCAGATTTTCGGGGACGGTTTCCATTGGGCCTAGGTGGCCAGTTTGGGTTGCGAACGGGCTTCAATCAAGGTGGGGTGTCAGAAATTAGGTTGACTGAAAAGGAACTTCCATCGCATTCACACAAGGAGGGATCGCTTACTACTTTGGTTGCTGGAGCACATGCCCATTCTTACAGCGATCCAGGACACAATCATGGGGGACGAACAGGTGACTCTGGACTTTCGTCAGGGCCTTTTCATTTGAGCAGCCGTGGTGGAGGTGCCAATGATTTTGGAATCCACTCTCATACAATCAATCGCGACGTCACTGGTATTCAGATCAATTCTAATGGAAGCCACAATCATGTTATCCACGGTACTACTGATGCCACTGGGGCTGGAAATGCCTTCAGTATCATGAATCCCTACCAAACTATCAACTACATTATATATGCCGGACCAGAATTTTCTTCTC